GTCTTCGAGAAGAAGAGCGACGGACCCCTAGTCGGACGGATGCCGGTTACCGACAAGATAACAGTGGCAGTTTTATGGCTGTGCCCGTTGTGGGCGGTTCATGCACGGAAAGTGAGCCGCGTAGCAGCGAAAATCCATGATTCACTTCCAGAGCAGGTCAAAGATGGGGAAAAAAGGACCAAAGCCAGCAAGAGGTTGACGGACGAGTGGGACACACAGACGCTGTGCTTGCCACGAAAGCCTATAGCTTGGTCCGGAGAGATCAGAGATCAGAAAAAAGTCGTTGGAGAGAAGAGTGCAAGTCGTTTGAGAGATTAGTGCTGGAGTGTACTAAGACTTGCCCACTGTGGGCAGGTGAGTGCGCTGAGGTGGGTGGGGGAGGGTTTTCGAGGACGATGGCGAAGAAATCGCGAGAGACCATGAACACTGAAGAGAATTCATAGCCCGATGGGGGGGGGTGAGTCCGAGTTCAGCTGAAGTATCCCCTTCATATACCATACAGGATGTCTCGGGCTTCTCCGAATACGTATCCGGTCTCGACGAAAAGGTTACGGTTAAACTGCTGCTTTTCTTCTTCTCCTGTACTTGCCTTTCTCAGCCTTGAACCGTACAAATTAACTTACAGAAATCTGGGAATAACTAATTTGTAAAGCAGGCAGAGATGTTCCGCGCAGTTTTCTTAGTTTGATGCATAGTGCAGGAAACGCTTGAAACATACAAAAATCACCAATGTGTTTGACACCCCGTTATCATTGTGTAGTGGCGTAATCAGAATGCTAACACTCACAGTTCTCCTGTTCCTCTTCATAGCAGGCACGTCAATCCATTTATTGGTGAGAGGGCTGTACTTCTCAACTGACGATGCTCCTTCCTCCTGCTGCGTACAAATGGCCATCGAATACTGCAGTTCCAAAATGAGTTCGTGGTTCTAACATTGGACAAACGTCTTCCCATTTGCCAACTCGTGGATCTAACCTGAAACGCTAAATCTATCTTTTGTAATTGTTTTTCCTACATTTGCATAGTTACTCAGTATATCGCTTGACGAGTGTGGATCCAAAGCAGGCAATCGTTGTGAAAAGTATAATGAAGGGGGCACGATCGATCAGGAGAGGAGGGAATCGTAAGAGTGACGGAATTGCGAGAAAAGTTTTCCGCTTGTTAGGTCCTTTCCGTCCCACATGCGCTATATCATCTACATATCACCATAGTTGGTAGCGCCATAAAACCCTCTGATAAAAACTGTTTGAGAAAACACGATGTTGGACTAGGGGATCGTGAGAAAGTACAAAAAAAGAAAACTGGAGGAAGAGCCCCGCATTCATCCGAAATTACACAATGCGTGCTGCGTCCCGATTCGAAGAGTTTTTGGGCTTTCAAACATTTCAACATTTACAAATGTGTACCTTTCCACTGTTCTCAATTCCACACCATCATTACGCCCTCCGATAGCGTATAAACAGCCATCAAGTACGGATACAGAGAGCCATGCATCGAGGTGTTCGCATGGATGCCACAGTGGTCCATTTGTTTCGTTCAGCATCATAGCTAAAGCAATACTTTTCCACACAGTAAAGCAAGCAGCCTAGAAGCCCCTCCTCAATCTATCCTGCTTTGCTCTGATCGTACAGGAGAGGATCAAGAGACGAGCAAGAATGGTCAAAGAATGTAGGTTCACTTCCGAAGGGGGTTCCAGTTGGCTCGACTTTCTAGAAGAAAGAAAACTTAACCTCACTCACCGTTCGACTGTGTCCAGACTGTTTGTGAAATTGCGTCGAAGCCGCCTACAGCATACAGGAAGCCATCAAGCGCAGCTACTCCGTGCCCGTACCGAGGCGTGGACATCCCCGCGACGTCACTCGACCACTGATTCTTCACAGGATCGAATCTGAAGGTTTTGACACTCATACATTTTCTTCTAATCACGACTCTTTATAACTGCAGTAAACTCCATGTTCGCCTTTCTTGTAACCTGGGCATTTATGTACTTATAGAACTAATAACTTCTTTCTTATGCCAAACAGGTTTGTATGGTGGAGTATTTATTTACGTTTCAGCTGGAGTTTCCTATTCATCTGTAGTTCCTTAGTCTGGGTTGCAACTAGCTGAGGGCGGGCCCGTGTTGAATAGGATAGATAGTATTCACCG